TCTATCCACTGTCCTCTCTCTCCTCTGGTTTCAGACTCTATCCACTGTCCTCTCTCTCTCTGGTTTCTGACTCTATCCACTGTCCTCTCTCTCTCTCTGGTTTCTGACTCTATCCACTGTCCTCTCTCTCTCTCTGGTTTCTGACTCTATCCACTGTCCTCTCTCTCTCTCTGGTTTCTGACTCTATCCACTGTCCTCTCTCTCTCTCTGGTTTCTGACTCTATCCACTGTCCTCTCTCTCTCTCTGGTTTCTGACTCTATCCACTGTCCTCTCTCTCTCTGGTTTCAGACTCTATCCACTGTCCTCTCTCTCTCTGGTTTCTGACTCTATCCACTGTCCTCTCTCTCTCTGGTTTCTGACTCTATCCACTGTCCTCTCTCTCTCTGGTTTCAGACTCTATCCACTGTCCTCTCTCTCTCTGGTTTCTGACTCTATCCACTGTCCTCTCTCTCTGGTTTCAGACTCTATCCACTGTCCTCTCTCTCTCTGGTTTCAGACTCTATCCACTGTCCTCTCTCTCTCTGGTTTCTGACTCTATCCACTGTCCTCTCTCTCTCTGGTTTCAGACTCTATCCACTGTCCTCTCTCTCTCTCTGGTTTCTGACTCTATCCACTGTCCTCTCTCTCTCTCTGGTTTCTGACTCTATCCACTGTCCTCTCTCTCTCTGGTTTCTGACTCTATCCACTGTCCTCTCTCTCTCTGGTTTCTGACTCTATCCACTGTCCTCTCTCTCTCTCTGGTTTCTGACTCTATCCACTGTCCTCTCTCTCTCTGGTTTCTGACTCTATCCACTGTCCTCTCTCTCTCTGGTTTCAGACTCTATCCACTGTCCTCTCTCTCTCTGGTTTCTGACTCTATCCACTGTCCTCTCTCTCTCTGGTTTCTGACTCTATCCACTGTCCTCTCTCTCTCTGGTTTCAGACTCTATCCACTGTCCTCTCTCTCTCTGGTTTCTGACTCTATCCACTGTCCTCTCTCTCTCTGGTTTCAGACTCTATCCACTGTCCTCTCTCTCTCTGGTTTCTGACTCTATCCACTGTCCTCTCTCTCTCTGGTTTCTGACTCTATCTCTGGTTTCTGACTCTATCCACTGTCCTCTCTCTCTGGTTTCTGACTCTATCCACTGTCCTCTCTCTCTCTCTGGTTTCTGACTCTATCCACTGTCCTCTCTCTCTCTGGTTTCAGACTCTATCCACTGTCCTCTCTCTCTCTGGTTTCTGACTCTATCCACTGTCCTCTCTCTCTCTGGTTTCTGACTCTATCCACTGTCCTCTCTCTCTCTGGTTTCAGACTCTATCCACTGTCCTCTCTCTCTCTGGTTTCTGACTCTATCCACTGTCCTCTCTCTCTGGTTTCAGACTCTATCCACTGTCCTCTCTCTCTCTGGTTTCAGACTCTATCCACTGTCCTCTCTCTCTCTGTTTTCTGACTCTATCCACTGTCCTCTCTCTCTCTGGTTTCAGACTCTATCCACTGTCCTCTCTCTCCTGGTTTCTGACTCTATCCACTGTCCTCTCTCTCTCTGGTTTCTGACTCTATCCACTGTCCTCTCTCTCTCTGGTTTCAGACTCTATCCACTGTCCTCTCTCTCTCTGGTTTCTGACTCTATCCACTGTCCTCTCTCTCTCTGGTTTCAGACTCTATCCACTGTCCTCTCTCTCTCTGGTTTCTGACTCTATCCACTGTCCTCTCTCTCTCTGGTTTCTGACTCTATCTCTGGTTTCTGACTCTATCCACTGTCCTCTCTCTCTGGTTTCTGACTCTATCCACTGTCCTCTCTCTCTCTGGTTTCAGACTCTATCCACTGTCCTCTCTCTCTCTGGTTTCAGACTCTATCCACTGTCCTCTCTCTCTCTGGTTTCAGACTCTATCCACTGTCCTCTCTCTCTCTGGTTTCAGACTCTATCCACTGTCCTCTCTCTCTCTGGTTTCTGACTCTATCCACTGTCCTCTCTCTCTCTGGTTTCTGACTCTATCCACTGTCCTCTCTCTCTCTGGTTTCAGACTCTATCCACTGTCCTCTCTCTCTCTGGTTTCAGACTCTATCCACTGTCCTCTCTCTCCTGGTTTCTGACTCTATCCACTGTCCTCTCTCTCTCTGGTTTCTGACTCTATCCACTGTCCTCTCTCTCTCTGGTTTCACACTCTATCCACTGTCCTCTCTCTCTCTGGTTTCTGACTCTATCCACTGTCCTCTCTCTCTGGTTTCTGACTCTATCCACTGTCCTCTCTCTCTCTGGTTTCAGACTCTATCCACTGTCCTCTCTCTCTCTCTGGTTTCAGACTCTATCCACTGTCCTCTCTCTCCCTGGTTTCAGACTCTATCCACTGTCCTCTCTCTCTGGTTTCAGACTCTATCCACTGTCCTCTCTCTCTCTGGTTTCAGACTCTATCCACTGTCCTCTCTCTCTCTGGTTTCTGACTCTATCCACTGTCCTCTCTCTCTCTGGTTTCTGACTCTATCCACTGTCCTCTCTCTCTCTGGTTTCTGACTCTAT